GGTAAGAGTATATAGCGGTTGTTGTGCGGGACTGCAAAACATAAACTCAGAGACACTGAAAATTTACCATGTACCATGCTGCTATAACCTTCATTTATGTATACTTTAAATTAGTACACGTTCCGGGCAACTTAAATTTTAGTGCTCTTATAAATAATAATTATTAAGGTGTTTAGGTTTCCGTGAACATCCTGTATTATGCCGGACAGACTAGGTTACTGTTTTACTTGATTTACAGCTCAATTTGGGTTCTTAATTTATGTCTCCAACAATGTTATAACTAGTTTCTCGCGCGGAGCGTCTCTCTAATGAGAGATGTTATGTTCTCCTTACAGTCGATAAGATCCTGTTGTAAGACATAATTTCCATACTTACATAGGCCTACCTTCTTTATGTGTAGAATTTCTTCTGAGTTACATATCTGGATTTGATGTCATTGCTATGCTATTTAAAAGTCTTACCAATTCATAATAAAATTGTTGGTGAAGAAATGATAATCATTCGTAACTGAGACTCGAATTAGTAAGTACGTAGGGCAGATCTACAGAGAGGCTAAAGTTATGTGACAGAGGCGTGTTATTAATCTGATACATATTTTGGACACTTCCCATTATCTCATTTTTGGGGTATAATATTAAAGTGGGTATTTGAAAAATAAGATGCAATGCTGTAGCCTGAATTCAACTGTCTCTGGCTATGGTTTAAAGAACGTTTTATGAATTCAATGATGAAACTTTGAATTTTTTGAAAATGTATAATATCTTATCAGGTAATTTTCAGCTTCTTTATGTAAGACTCTGAGAGCTGACTCTGTAGCTTCTATCTGAATCATGATATAGACAGACGACAAATGTACGGACAGCTTAATACGTATGTTAATAATGTTACGTACATGTAAGAATCTCTGTCTTTTCGGAGCCTTAACATGACCTCGGTGTGGAACAGAAGTTCATGAAGCCGCAGCTGTAAACTTCAGAATGAAATGTTTGATTCTAAAACTTTTTGTTCGATGGAAATAATTGGCCTTCTTAATGTCTCCTGCTGAGTTGCTGTAATCGCTGCTCACGACTCAGGCAGCGCGGGTATCTTCAAGAGTGCAGTCACGAAGCTGAGACTCACTGGTGGTCAAACTCTCATGGACGCTTAATGCGGCTTCAAGGGTATTTTATGCCACTTTTTTAGCAGCTGAATCTATCTCTTAAGAAGTTTAAAGTGAGCTCTGTGTCAGTAACAAATCAAAGTTACATTCATGAAGAATCTAAGAACAGATTAACCGAGGAGAATGCTTACTACCATACAGTTCAGTACATTTTACCTTCCCATCTGCTTTATAAAACTCAAAAACAAAAATATATACCTACCTTATAGGAATCTAAGCCTGTTTTTTGTGTGTTTGTTGTTTTGTATGGGTGTGAAACTTGGTCTCTCACCGCATGGGATTAACATAGATTAAAGTTGTTTAAAAATTGCGTATCTAAGGTAAAGAAATTGAAAAGGACATGGATAAAATTAAATAACTAGAACCTTTACAAACTATACTTTTTACCACGTAGTTTAAGGTCATCAATTTAATAATGATGAGATGGAAACGACATGTAATATCATGAAGTTACGTTTATTTATTTATTTATTTATTTATTATTAACTGCAAATGGGTTTATACCCGGTGGCAGTGGTGCTACAATAAGACACAAAAAACATAAGACACAACAAAACAATAGGACACAACAAAACAACACACATCACACAAAATAACACACCACACTCAAAATAAAACAACTTATAAGATTACAAAACCATAAGGCACAAGTATTTAAACACAACAGATAACCTAAAGTAGATAACTTAAAAATTAATACCAACTAGACCTAAGACAGTAACAGTAATGAATTACATATCATGAACTGATGCACTCACATTTCATCAGGACCTTCTCTTCACTTCACTACACTTATGAAGCCTTCCCATCCTCATCCCGATTGACCTCCTTTCACCTCACATCACTGCACCCTCCCAGGTATTCCCTTCACTCCACCTCATTTATCACTTTTCTAACCTTCTTCCTAAAAGTACTTGGTTTACAGGACAGAGTCCCTAAAACTTCCGCAGGTAGCTGGTTCCAGAGTTGGATGGTCCTATTTACAAAGGAATATTTTCCGATATCTGTTCTTTGCTTTCTGCTCCTAATTTTCCGAATATGATCGACCCTGCTCAGATAGTATGGCCTTTGCAATCTGTCACCTATAGCCTTCCATGCCCGTTCTCCCGTGTACGCTTTGAAGAGAGCACATATACGCGATATCTTTCTACGCTGTGCCAGGGTTTCACAGTTCGAATCGCTCTTATGATATGCAAATTTACATGCTTTCTTTTGCACCCGTTCTAACTCATTTATCTGCCCCTCCCTGTAAAGATCCCAGCACGCCGCCCCATATTCCAGAATCGGACGCACTAGTGATGTGTAGGCTAGACTTTTAGTGCTACTATTTCCCTTTCTGAGAACACGCATTGTAAAATGAAGTGCCTTCCAGGCTTTCTTCACAGTATAATTTACTTGGTCAGCCCAGCTTAAATCGCTGCTTAAGAGTATTAACAAGTATTTACAACTGCTCACTTCCGGAATTACTTGGTCCCGTAACGAATAGTTTAGTGGTTCCTTCGCCCGACTTCTCGTGAAACTAACTGCCGTACTTTTACTTGGGTTAATTTTCATAGCATTCTCAACCGCCCACTCCCCCCAGATTGTTCAGATCCATCTGCATCTTTCTATATCTTCACTATTTATAATTTTTCTATATATTATGCAGTCATTTGCGAAAAGTCTAATAGTCGATTCAATGTTCATCCAAATATCATTTACGTACGCGAGGAATAGAAGTGGACCCAATACACTCCCTTGCGGTACACCTGACGTTACTCTGACTTTCTCTGATAATTGCCCTCCTACTCTAACTCTCTGCGTTCAGCCTAAAAGGAATTCCCTTACCCATGCGACTACCCTCGAGTCCACTCCCGATGCCGCGATTTTCGTAAGCAGCCGATCGTGAGGAACTAAATCGAAGGCCTTCGAAAAATCGATTATAATCGCGTCTAACCTTCCTCCGTTATCCAGTTAAATGAGGACTTAGGTTGTACAGATCTCCCGAATCTGTATGAAGAACATTATTATTTGTCTTTTGTATTAAAAGCTCGTCTGTGAGCTAAGTAAGAAGGCATTTGTTTCACAAACTCAGAATTTGCAAAAAGAATAATTTTGTAATAAGATTTCTAAAAAAACTAACCACATTCCTAGCCTTTTTCTAATGATTTCAGTACTAATAGCGAAGGGTTCGCCTGAGGTAGCTCATTGCATCTGTGGGATGCTACGCTCGCAGCTAAATGCCGAAGAATAATAGAAATTAAGGGAGTTGGCCTTTTCTATCGAGTCAGTAATGAGCCGTCCATTACCATCCTTGATCGCCGGAATATTTTCCCTGTTTCCTTTACGTCGTTTTACATACTTGTAGAAATCAATCCAGCATTTACCTTCATTTCTTAATATTGACCTTAAAAATGTTTCCTGTGCGTTTTGTTTGGCTAATAGCAACTGCTTTGATAGTCGTTTCAGTTCTTCTTGGTGCTGTTGTAATAATTTTCTGCTGTTATATGCTTTCCTGACCTTTAACTTCAACCGTTTCACTTCCTTAATATTCAGGGTCCGAATTTTTTCTCGATATTTTATGTGGCACAAAACGTTGGATACTCTCAAATATTATGTTCTTGAAATTATTCCATATCTCCTCGACACATCTCCCATTGCTTACCCATATTGCGAATTTATCCCTGAGGAAGGTTTGTAGTCCTAAAACATTTGTTTTATAGTACACCGGGACTAATCTTTCTACCTGAGGTTCACAGCAAGTTTCTTCCCATTCCACTTCTAATAATACTCCACAGTGGTCACTGATCCCCTGTACAATGCTGCAATGTTACAATCTTTATAAACTGCGGTCAAATTTGGAGGAGAATTTAATTAAAACCTCGACGACCTCAGACGTCTGTCAGCTTGCATGTTCGTGAGTGTAAAATCAGTGGCAGTAGTATTACACTTCGCGTGCCTTGCTAAAAATTAAGTTGCTGCCCTTAAAACTGGGAATAAAATACATTCTTCAGTGAACCATTGTTATTCATAACAGTTGTGATAAGAAATGCTCAATTCTATGACAAGGAATTTGATGCAAAATTGCCTATGATATGTTGATTGGCGTTGTCTGTACCACACATCAATATTCTCTCAAATGATTATATTGTGTATGAAATCAATCAGAAGTAAAATACAAGTATTTACATTGAAGATTTTATGTAAATATAGTCAACAGTGATGTGTGTTGTTTTGTTGTGTCTTATTGTTCTTGTTGTGCCTTATGCTTTTTGTGTCTCATTGTTTTTGTTGTGTCATGTCTTTTTGTCTTACTGTATTGTTGTGTCTCATTGCTTTGTTGTGTCTTATTGTTCTTGTTGTGCCTTATGCTTTTTGTGTCTCATTGTTTTTGTTGTGTCATGTCTTTTTGTCTTACTGTATTGTTGTGTCTCATTGCTTTGTTGTGTCTTATTGTTCTTGTTGTGCCTTATGTTTTTTGTGTCTCATTGTTTTGTTGTCTTATTGTTTTGTTGTGTCTTATGTCTTTTTGTCTTACTGTTTTGTTGTGTCTCATTGTTCTGTTGTTTCTTATTGTTTTTGTTGTCTTATGTTTTGTTGTGTCTTAGTGTAGGACCACTGCCACCGGGTAAAAACCCATTTGCAGTCAAATAAATAATAATAATAATAATAATAATAACACGAGTCTTCTGTTTATGTATTTATTTAGACTTGCTAGGCCAGAAATAACACATTTATAAATGTAAGCACCGTTAATATAGTTACATCAAGTCATTTAAATCGTTTTAATAATTATTTTGACAGATATAATCAGACCACTTTAATGTAATCAGGCTGTTTGAATGATAATTATCTGTTGCAGATTTGTCGAAGAAACTTTGCAATACTAAGAAAGAAAGGAATTTCTTCAAATACTGCATTCGGTAAGTTAATTAGATATTTTAAATGCATATATTTAAGTGATAAATATCAAGTGTGTAATACAAATAACCTGCAAGTTATATAACAGTCCAGACATCGGTTTCGGGTGGGGTTTTATAAGTGATAAATACAATTACTAACCCACTTTTTGTCTCCAGAAAACATTGTGTCTGGAACAATTTATTTACGTAATCTAAAGCTGTAAGTTGTCCCTCAACTGAAAAATGTACCCCGTGCCATTTTTCAACTAGGAATGTGCTGCACTGCACTGTATTCTCATGTCGGGTACGAACTTCCTTTGTTACAGAGAGATTTTTTTTTGAACGTGTGTGTTATTACCACTAAATTATCTTCGTATAGAAATAAAAAAATTAAATGTCTTCTAGCAATCCTAATTGAATTGTTTGCATTTTTATCATTCATGTTAAACCAAGTTACTAGCGCTATCTGCCCGGCGCTTTCCATCTAACCGTACACTTACCATATAATTTTCTTCGATTAATATTTCACTCGATACAACGTTATTAAAATAAGTTTAATCTATTAAATTACATATGTCTTATCAAAAGATATAATTTAGGTTGCATACAATGACAGAATATAAATCTCTCGGGAATATTATCCCTTAAATACCATCAAATATTTTAATGTACTTACGAAATATGACGAAAAACTTTACTTTTACATCAATAGACTCATGACTGACTATTGCGCATCTTGTTTCGTTGATCACAATTTTACCTTGATTTTGACGTATTAAGACTGTATGAGGAATAATAATCAAAGCGTATGTAGACATACGTCATTAGAATCATCACCCTCAGCTGCCTACTCTAAAACTCTCTCATGCGTAACTATATGGAAGCTGGCAAACAGACTCTGAGTGGTAAATTTTCTAGAACTAAATTGACTATATTTCCTGCGCAGCTATTACTCTGCAGTAACCATAAAATGACAGGACTATAGGACTATACGCTGGAGAAATTCACTGCCATGCACCACATTACATGCAGAATTCAGAACAAAGTAGAAGAGGCGCAGAATTCTTCACATAATAGAACTGATTCGGTCAGCATCACGCTCCATTGACGTCAAATAAACTACAATGAATCGGGGGCGGTCGTTGGGTTCCACAAAAAAGCACAGTGTTACCTCAGGGACTGAAGCCAATCAGGGTAAGGTCGTGACGTGATCTACACCAGGGATGGACAACAAGGGGTGTATCAGTTCTGCGGAAGTAGGGTTGCTGTAATGCTTAAGAAATACAACGGCGCTATTTTGTATGAAGGGATGTAGATCGTTAAATGATGTGGGAAGGTGGTTATGAATGATAAGTGAAAGGTAAAGTTGTTGCTGTGTCTAAGCACTATGGCGTGGAGGCTTATAGTGGATATGAAGATGCAGCTCCGTGCAAACAAGACTTCGACATTGTATTGGAGGCTGGGTACGAACTACAGCTGGTATAGACGTGTTACCGAAAAGAATAATTAATGCCTTTGCTTGCAATCGAAGAACTGTTATCTAACCCGGAGCCAGTCACTATATAACAGTTATTCCAGCTCACAGTTGGCAATTAGTTAAGGATTATGAAGGAAATCGTATCCTACTTTATCGTATTTTTTTAAATTACCTGTAGATACTCTTAAAACAAAGATCTCTCTCCTGATTGTCGATAATCTTGCTAAGAATCAAACCAAGTACCTCTTGAATAAAACTGTAAATGTTACCGCTATACCGACTTCTTCGGGACGTTGAAGTGAAAAATTTGTGGCTTTTAAATAGTTAAAGTATCTAGTTATGATGTAGGGGTCCGCAGTGGCTGCGCGGTCTGAGGCGTGGGCCTTTTGCCGCTTGGTCGCTGGGACCGTGGGTTCGAATCCCACTTAAGCCATGGATGTTAGTCCGCGTTTCTCCATGTTGTGCTGTCCTGTGTACAGGTAGAGACCTAGCGACGAGCCAATCCATCGTCCAAGGAGTCCTACCGAATGTCTATAGATCGAGCCAACGAAAAAGTTGGGACCCGCAGTGCTCAGGCACTTGAAGAACGGGTCGTTCCCAGTATCCCAGTTATGATGTAAATATAAAATAAAAAAAAATAATTTAAGTTCGTGTTGAACAACGCAACAATGAAGGGACAATTCAGTTACGTAGTCTTCTTCGTAAAAATTAGACCGAATAAGTAACATATAAAAATAAAAGAACTTAAAATATGATCGAGGTCGTAGTTCCTATCTGTAGACCCACTTGAAACATACTGTTGTTGATGGTGTGTGCGTCCGGTGGAAAAGAGACGGCAGGTCAGGGAGAAAGTTGCTAGTGTGTTCATCAAAATGCTTTGAGACGCCGAGTCGTATTTCACGGGCATACCGGCAGACGGTACCAGAGCGTTAAGACGGGAAACACATTGCTTCTTGAAGAGCAGGTATTATCCGTCCAATAACTTACAACTTAAGACTCTTTATGTTGACGTAAAGTTTATTAACTACTGTTAGATGTCTCTCTAGAATACCACGACGGCCGAAGTAGTAGGTCTATGAATTACGCGGTATTAATAAATATACTAACCTGTTTTAACATTGCTATATGTTGTTATAAATCATATTTATTTGCGGTGAAAATTAATTACCATCAAGTAGACTACTAGCGTGGGAAAGGATATTAAAACACAAAGGTACTTCTATAAGCCTCTCAATTCTAATTGATTGTATAACACTCTCTCAAGCGCAGTAGATTTAGTATATCATATTCAGACAATACGACTTGAATTATATGTACATGCAAAATTATTAGCATATTATCTCATGAAATGTAATACACGACAAGTGGTTTGATTTAATTACAGGTTTAACGTTCTATAATCCTAACTGTAGAAAAGAAATGTGGCCCAATGCAATCAAGTATAATATCTCGAAGTTCTTGAGACACAGTAAGTGGCTAATTAAATAGCCGACTAATTAATGATGTAACAAGCTAGGTAACTAAATAATGAGCTATCATATTAAGTACCTGACTAACCCCAAGAGATTTTTATTGAGCAGTTTAAAGTCGGTAAATTCGAATTAAATATAACCCTACTGGTTTGACATGAAACGTTTCTTATTCAACGCGGTTATATCAAGCAAATTAGAAATCTAATTTTAACTTTTATACTCCTATTGAGAATCTTATTTACACCGCCTTCCCCCACCAACCAAAACAAGCTTTGTTAACTCCTTAAGCTGAACTCGTCTGAATAACGTTTAAAAATGAATTTGTGTGAAAGAAAACAGTGCGTCTCCATTTCAAAAGTCAGTTTGTCAATGTTGTATAGGAATGTAATTGCTCTCTATTTGGAGAACCTTACGAAACCAATAAATACACTTTTGGGCAAAATACTGGAGTTACTATACGCAAAATAGGTGGTACATATATCTACTACAGGACGTTAAAGGGATAAAATCTAATAATAGGATGATTCTATGATTCTTAGTTTAAATGTCTTAATACTTTTGAGATTGTACCGTTTATATTTTAGATCCTTAAAAAGTGGAATGCATATTCTTCATATTTTTTAAAAAAATGTACTGTGTGCTGTAGCGCATATTTGCCATTAACTATAAACAACTTTTCAGAATAAGTTTTTAATGTAGGTCTAATCTAGTGATAATTAAGGTGTAAAGCAAATCCCCATGTAACACTGTTTATACTCAAGTGAGAACAATTTGGGAAAGGATTCAGTGGAAATGATACAATTTTTTTTTTATTAAAATGTTACTTGAAGTTTCTTCAAGAGAAAGAAACATGCGGTCTACTTATCGAATCTCGTTACAAAGAACAAGACGTCCGGTACATGTCATTGAACCTCTTGTTAAAACAGTTGACCCTTCCAACAAATTTCTGAGCGCACAATGTGAGGTACAATGATTAATAAGCTCTTCGTGCTGTAATTAATGCAAGTCAATTGTACGTATGCGATGATTAAAGTCCCGTGTTTTGCGTGTTCGGTTTTATGTTGTTATAAATAAGTTCTTGATGTAATTAATAACCTTTATGAGGCTTGGATAGATGCACTTTTCGTTTTGACAGCAACAACCTGAGAAAATAAAGTACACTTGTATTTATTGTTAGGTCTACGTACGGGTTTATATTTCTTTTTAGTGTTACGTAAGCAGATGTTAAGGGTATCTAATTAAAGAACGTCGGTTTATTCGAAAAATAAGGACTTTCAAATGTCTTTCATAGCAATTAATACAAAAGAAAGATTCTTTATGTTCAGAACAAACCATACATAGACGTTTACAAAAGGAAGATTGTTTGGAGTTCAGTTGAAGCAATGTTTGATATGAGACGTTTTTGAACTTACAAAATTATTATGAATTGTTTAATTACCTATACTTTGCATAAATATATTTGTACGGTTCAGTCTACTTAATGTTTTTAATTATATTGGGTTATTTATACAAATGCTTTCGACACAATATCGTCTTCCTGCGATTGAAATGTATGCTATAAATTTATATATGTATAAAAATATTTGAGAATCATTATTATAACTGGGGACTATCTTTATTAACCTCTTAGGAGTTGAGCAGTATATTGACTCGTCCGGCCCTGAGTTGTCTAATGAAATTTGATGTTCTTTTTACTTAGGCCTGCGTTTATATTTTAATCACTACGGATTTGTTTTTGGTGTTAACGATCTTGATTTCAGTACCATGAATAAAAGACAAATATTATCACTGATGGACTAGGACATATGCGTTTTGAAATCCATTTTCTGTGCAATCGGGAGAATGAACCTCTGAGTACCTGTGTCTTGAACTTAAAAAGTTCAGATTTTAAGAATATATTAAATAAAACTTGAGACACGAAAATTGTGATTTCTTGAATAGCTGCTCTTCAGGTTTTCATCACGTTTTGCATGGTTTTAATGAACACGGTTCAATAATTGGTTACTTTCTAGAACCAATTCAATTCCTGATGTTGCTTGTACAAATCCTTGGAACGACTGTCCAGTGATTTT